CGGCTTTTCCTTTGTCCCCCGCGGTCTGGGCGGCCCCTGCCTCTCGGTCCCTGGAGCGTCCCAAGGGAGCAGCTTGGACCCTCTGTCCCATCCATGCCCTGCGCCAGATTGGGAGCAGTAGCCGGGTGCCCTGGGCCCTGTCCCTGCCCTGCGGAGCTCGCTCCCGCCCTGGGCCTCTGCACTGAAGTTCCCCAGTGCGGCCCGGCCGTGGATTTTGTGCGGATGTTTGCCCTGCATCGAGTGTCCTGGGTCAAGTCCGTGTCCTGCAGCTGGCCGCAGCGTAGGGGTGCCCCTGCGGAGCTCGCTCCCGCCCTGGGCCTCTGCACTGAAGTTCCCCAGTGCGGCCCGGCCGTGGATTTTGTGCGGATGTTTGCCCTGCATCGAGTGTCCTGGGTCAAGTCCGTGTCCTGCAGCTGGCCGCAGCGTAGGGGTGCAGCCTGGAACCGAAAGCCCCGCTGTGCAGTTACGGACAGCTGAGGGCCTGCCATCTCCTCTTGTTGCGGGGCCCAGCCAGCCAGGAGGGAGTGGAACTGGCCAGGTGCAGCCAGACTCTGCCTGTGCCGCCTCCTGCCTCCTTTGGCCCTTCCTGGCAGCTCAGTGCATGGGCCATGGAAGGGAGGGGCTGCAGGAGACACCCCCAGCCCTCACCTTCCCCTGCGTGGCCCCCGCAGACGACCTGGCCAATGAGATGGAAGCGGTGGATTTTGAGGAGGAGGCCGTCGAAGGCGCTGACGCGCAGGCCTGGGAGACGGAGGAGGAAGATGAGGGCGTGGAGGACGGGATGGAGGCCCAAGATGACAGCGAGGTCACGTTCTCCGAGCACTCGGGTAAGTTGGAGGCAGGGGTGGGAGGAGAAACCGGGGCTGGTATTGACCGGGGCCGGGCCTGCCAGGGAGAGGGAAGATCCCTGCAGCCCCTCACGGGAAATGGGACAGACTTGGGTCAGCTGAGCTCCCTCCAAGAGCTGGCTTGGCCCTGGCTGCCCTTAGTAGGGCTGTGCTGGCCCACATGTTAAATCCAGATGTTCCTGGGACTTTCTCCCTGGAGGGGCTGAGCAGTCAGCTGGCGGATCGCAGGAGCAGGCGACCGATGGAAAGTGACGCCTAAGTGGGAGCTGGAAGGAGACTGGGCAATCCAAAAACCAAACTGACCAATCAGCCGCCCCTTAGCCTTGTTCCTGGATCCGCCCCTCCCTGCCTCATGCTGGTGTAGCCATGTCTAGGACCCTCTCTGCCCCAAGCGACCGGGTCCTGTCTTAGATCTTGTGTGTGCGTGGGGGGAGGGGGGGTATTGGCGTTATTATCCTGCCCTCCGGGGCTGAGAGCAGGGCGTCTGGCTGGCGTTCGAGGTGCGTTCGGGGTGTGATGTTTATCGACTCTGCTCTGTCCTGGGAAGCCTCCGTTTTCTGCGTGAGTCTCGATCCCAAGACCAACACCCTGGCGGTGACGGGCGGGGAGGATGACAAGGCCTTCGTGTGGCGGCTGAGTGACGGCGAGCGCCTGTTTGAATGCTCAGGTGAGAGGCGCTGGGCTGGACCGTTCTCTGTCACGGGGGAGGTTCCCCTTTGATTCCTACTGGGCACAGCCTGCTCCCTTTGTGGCTGTTGCTGTGGGGTGTTAAACATCGGCCGTGTTCCACCCCAGAGAGAGTTGCATTCCAGTGGTGAATGAAGAGAGAGAACTCTGGGGGGCTTGGGGGATGAGCTATATAGACGAGGCGGAACTCCTGGATCCAACCTGCTCCATCTAATCTTTTGCGTGGCTTGGTGTTCTCGGTCTCAGCTGCTGCAGCTCCCCACGGCTGGCTAAGCCCCTCCCCCCTTTCCCCATTGCTGTCTCTCTAGGGCACAAGGACTCCGTCACCTGCGCTGGTTTCAGCCACGACTCCACGTTTGTGGCCACGGGGGACATGAGCGGCCTGATCAAAGTGTGGCGGGTGGACACGAAGGAGGAGATCTGGTCGTTCGAAGTGGGCGACTTGGAGGTGAGAAGCGGTGGGAGGGAATCCACGAGGCGTGGCTGATGGAAGCTGCAGCATGGACCCCACTCTGGGCGGGGGGGAGACGTGGCAGAGGGCTGGCCTGTTTGTTTAGAGACCAGAGCCTGCGTTGTGTGGGACCCGTGGGCTGGCGCCAGGGAACTTTCTCCAGGAGGTGAAGCTGACGGGTCTAGTTCCTGGCTCCTCGGTTGAGCGGGTTTT